TTATCTGAAATACTTCAATTGGTATACCATCTATTCCTGGGGCCTTATTTTTTGCTATTTCCTTCAAAGCAGCTTGAACTTCTTGATCTAGGCTCTTGCTCATATGTTATTTCATTAAATTCTTCTGTATCTGCCAATTTCTTTCTATACAATGACTCAGTATATTCTTTCCATCTTCATTTAATACTTCCTGGATCATTTAATATTCTGCCCAAAGCGTCCTTGATTATAGCAACTCTAGGTTTGAATTTGTTCTTTAGTTCCTTGAGCTTAAGAAATGCTGAGCGAGTTCGGCCCTTTTGATTTTCTGACTCTAGCTCCTCGCACATTTCATTATAATATTTTGCTTTGTCATTCCGAGCTGCCTTTTGGAATCTTCTGTTCAACTCTTTAGTATCTTGAATTCTTCCTTGTACTTTTGATTTCAATGCAGTATACATTATTTATCCCATCTTTCTGTCTCCCCACAACCCCAATGTCAGTCCTATTTTATAACAGGGGCATTATGTAGTATTTGTCCTTTGGTTACTGAGAGACTTCACTCAGCATGATGTCCTCCAGGGTCACCCATTTTGAATAATATTGCATGAGTTCCTTGTTTTGCAATGCAGTATAGTGTTCCATTGTATGAATATACCACAGCTTCTCTATCCATTCGTTTGTTGATGGGCACTTAGGTTGTTTCCAACTCCTTGCTATTGTGAACAAAGCCACGATAAACATGAATGTGCATATATCTGCTTGGGTGGTTGTTCTGGTCTCTTTGGGGTATATTCCCAGTAGTGGAATTACTGGGTCAAATGGTGTTTCTTTTTGCAGCTTTTTGAGAAAGTACCACAGCGCCTTCCACAGTGGTTGCACCACTTTACACTTCCACCAACAGTGAATAAGGGTTCCAGCTTCTCCACAACCTCACCAGCATTTGTTGCTTGCTGTTCTGTTAAATTCTGCTATTCTTACTGGGTTGAGATGATATCTCATATTTGTTTTGATTTGCATCTTTCTTAGAGCTAGGGATTTTGAACATTTCTTCATGTGCTTGTTGGCCATCTGACTGTGTTCTTTGGTGAAGTGTCTATTCATATCCTGTGCCCATTTTTCAGTTGGATTGTTTACCTTTATCTTGTTGTGGTGCTCAAGTATTTTATAAATTCTAGATACGAGTCTCTGACATGTCATTACCAAATATTTTTTTCTTAGTCTGTGGCTTCCCTTTTAACCCTGTTGGAGAAGTTTTTGGATGTGATAGGGATTTGATTCTTAGAAGGTCCCATTCATCTATTTTATCTTCTGGTTGTAAATTTCTCAGGATACTTGGAAGGCTGTTTATGTTGTGGATTAGGACTTCTAGCGTTCTTCCAAGCTTTTCTTTAATGAAGTATATAGTCCTTGGTTTTAGTCCTAGATCCATGATCCACCTAGAGTTGGTTTTTGTATGTGGAGTGAGGTGTGGATCTTGCTTGAGTCTCCTGCAGATAGTTTTCCAGTTTTGCCAACACCATTTGTTAAAAAGGCTGTCGTTTCCCCACTTAACTGATTTCATCTCCTTGTCAAAACTCAGTTGAGCATAGGTAGATGGGCTGATTTCTGGGTTCTCGATTATATTCCATTGATCTATGTGTCTTTCATTGTACCAGCACCATGCTGTCTTAACCACCACGGCAGTGTAGTAGGATTTGAAATCAGAGAGTGAGATGCCTCCTACCTTTTTTCTATTTTTAAGGAGTGCTTTGCTTATTCGGGGCTTTTTTTTCCATTCCAAATGAAACTGGAGATTGCCTTTTCCATCTCATTGAAGAATGGGATTGGTATTTATAGTGGGATTGCATTGAACATGTAAGTTGCCTTTGGTAGTATTGCCAAAGGCTCTTCTTTACTGACCTGGTACCCTTAACTTCCTCTGCAGACTGTGGCTGGCAACAAGGACGAGCCTCAGGAACAGTGTACAATGGGGAAGAGAAGCTCACAGAGCTGCTGGTGAAGGTAGGTGTCGATATACTTAAGGAAACTACCTAAGAGGGTGTGTGTTGGGGGTGTGTGTGTGTGTGTGTGTGTGTTCTCTATCTCTGCTAGTTTACATCATCTCATTTTCCTCTCTACTTTTGTAATTTAAAACAAATACTTAGGGGGGAGGGGTGGGCAGGGAGAAAAGTGCAATAATGAATGTATGGAAAAGTAAAAAGAAAATTGCAAAAATGAAAAAAAAAAGATAAACATGGAATACTGTAGATGTCTAACCAATGAAGATATCTAACTCTGCCGCTTAAATAAGTGTTCAGGCTAGGAGTGAAAGGAATGAATAATCTACTTGGTAATCACAGATAAGCCAAGCAAAAGTGGGCTCAGAATCAATACTATCTAAATAGCAGAGAAGCCAAAGCACAGGGAAGAATTCAAGATACTAAAGAGTTGAATAGAAGATTTCAAAAGGCAGCACGGGATGACAAAGCAAAATATTACAATGAAATGTGCAAGGAGTTGGAGTCGGAAAATCAGAAGGGCCGAACTCGCTCAGCATATCTTAAGCTCAAGGAACTGAAGAACAAATTCAAACCTCGAGTTGCTATAATCAAGGATGCTTTCAGCAGAACGTTAAATGAACCCGGAAGTATTAAAAGAAGATGGAAGGAATATACTGAGTCACTGTATCGAAAGGAATTGGAAGACACAGAAGAATTTCATGAAACAACATATGAGCAAGAGCCTATGGTGATGAAAGAAGAAGTTCAGGCTGCTTTGAAGGACATGGCAAAAAATAAGGCTCCAGGAATAGATGGTATACCAATTGACATATTTCAGTTAACAGATGCTGCCCTGGACGTGCTCACCAAGTTGTGCCAAGAAATCTGGAGAATGACCACTTGGCCAACTGACTGGAAGAGGTCGATATTTGTTCCTATCCCAAAGAAAGGTGACCCAACAGAATGTGGAAACTACAGAACAGTCTCACTGATTTCACGTGCAAGCAATATTTTACTGAAGATTATCCAAAAACGACTGGAACAGCACATCAACAGAGAACTACCAGAAGTCCAGGCTGGGTTTAGAAGGGGTCGTGGTACTAGAGATATTGTAGCTGATGTTAGATGGATCTTGGCTGAAAGCAGGGAATACCAGAGGAATGTCTGTCTGTGTTTCATTGACTATACAAAGGCATTTGACTGTGTAGATCATAACAAACTGTGGCTGACTCTGAGAAGAATGGGACTCCCAGAACACTTGATCGTTCTAATGCGAAACTTATACTTGGACCAGGAGGCAGTCGTCAGAACAGAGCAAGGGAACACTACATGGTTCAAAATTGGGAAGGGCGTACACCAGGGATGCATCCTATCTCCATACCTTTTCAACCAATATGCAGAACAGATTATCCGGGAGGCTGGGCTCTATGAGGAGAAATGTGGCGTCAAGATTGGTGGACAAATTATCAACAATCTGCGTTATGTGGATGACACAACCCTGCTTGCTGAAACTGAGGAGGACCTGAAGCACCTGCTGCAGAGTGTCAAGGACTGCAGCCTACAATATGGATTGAGGCTCAATGTCAAGAAGACAAAGATTCTCACCACTAGGCCAATTGGCAGCATCAGGATGGATGGTGAAGAGATTGAGATTGTACATAGCTTTAGTTTGCTTGGCTCCATAGTCAACACTCTTGGCACCAGCAGCCAGGAAATTAAAAGGCACATTGCCATGGGAAAGTCTGCTGTTAGGGACCTCTCCAAAGTGCTGAAGAGCAGTGGTGTCTCTCTGGAGACTAAGGTGCGTCTGATACAGGCCATGGTCTTCGCAATCACCTGTTATGCATCAGAGAGTTGGACAATGACCAAGGAGGATAGAAGGAGAATTGATGCCTTTGAGCTGTGGTGCTGGAGAAGAGTATTGAGAATACCATGGACTGCTAGGAAAACAAACAGATTTGTCCAGGAGAGGGTTAAACCGGGTGGCTCCTTGGAGGCAAGGATTCTGAGGCTCCGTCTAACTTACTTTGGACATGTTGTGAGAAGAGACCGGTCCTTGGAGAGGGACATCATGCTTGGGAGGGTGGAGGGACGGCGCAGGAGAGGAAGGCCCTCTATGAGGTGGATTGATTCAGTGACTGGGATAATTGGGATGGGAGTGTCAGAGACAGTGCGATTGGCACAGGACAGAGCGGAGTTTAGGGCTGCTGTACAAAGGGTCACTATGAGTCACAGGCGACTCGACAGCACATAACAACAACAACAACAACAACAACAACAACAACAAATAGCAGCCCACTTGCTATTGTGTCAGGCATGGTATGAATGATATACTGATTGGCATCCACTTACTGGACAATTGATAGATAAATATGTACCTGACAAGAAGGAAAAGATCATTTTTGCACTTGATCTGTGTCTGTCTAATGTTTAAACATCTTAATACTCTATCAAATGATAAAGAAATATACAAAATTATTATGGAAAATTAGTACATTTGAGAAACAACTCAAGGGAAAGTACTGGTCAATTCTGAAACTAAACGGTACATGTCTGAATTAATTCACTGGGTTGTTTTTGTCTTTGTTTTCTCTTTAAGAGCAATAAAATAATACCTAGTGTTAAAAAGCTACTTAAAGCAAATTGTTAAAATAACCATGAAACTATAGAAAATTTAAAGTTTCTCATCATTGAAACATAAGTAGATAGGTAAATTGTCTAAGACATTAACAGTCAATAAAAAAGGAGATATTACTTATGTTTCCAGGCTTTGTAGATACTCAACAGAAAAGGGTGGATTACCAGGAAAGGTAGTGCCATCTTTAGAAAGAATGAATGGTAAAGTAGAGTATGTTTGCTGAGAAGAAAAGGAAGTATGGAGTCTTAGGTACTATTTTCTAAACTAACTCAGTCTCCTATCAAATGACCCGAGATGGACATTCAAGTCATTCATATTCTCATTCACCATTCCAGTGTCATCCTTTGTTGACTTTGTTGAATCCTACTTCTTCCATTTCTAATCACATTTATGTTTGAAACCCACCCTGGTGCATCCTATAGACAAAAAGTCTATCCCCATCAGGTTTCTTTTCTATTTGCCCAAGAACTGTCACTCAGCCTTGATGGAAGTAGCAGGCTTTCTGGAGTAGAAAACTAGAACAAAGATAGATCCTCAGAGTTTGAGAGGAAAAGTCTCTCAAGCTGTTTCCCAAAGAAACAAGGCAAAGGCCACGTAAAGAAACTCATTCACCACTGACCTAAGTGCTTTGCACACATTGTGTTATACACTGATATTTATCCCTGGGGCCTGGGGAGGGAGTCCGAGGAGGGAACTCTGGTGAGTAGTCTACAAGGATTTGCATTGCCAGTCCAAATGCTGCATGCCTGCCAATTTGAATTGGAGAAAAAAATAAGGCTGTTTCCTCGTCTTAATGATTTCCAACCTTGGAAACACACTGGAGGTTTACTGTGGGTCAGAACCAACTCCACAACAGTGAGTTTTTAATCAAATAAGGTCAGTATCATTATTGTCCCCTTTTGCATAAGAGAAACTGAGCCTCACAGAGGTTGTTTGACCTAATATCATGCATCTTAAAGTGATAGGCAGAGCTTAGACTTCACAACTGGATCTCTTTGATATCAGAGTCTGTATTTTGAACCACATCTTTACTTTCCCTCTTTCCCATGCTGTAAAATAATTCCTTTGTGTACTCTTTCACCATACTGTGCAAACACCTAGAACTGCCTGTTTGGCGCATGGCTGTTTGTCCTGTGCAAGGTAATAGTCTTTTATGTAATAAATGTTGGCATTTCTTTGCAGGCTTATGGAGATTTTGCATGGAGTAACCCCCTGCATCCAGATATCTTCCCAGGACTCCGAAAGATAGAAGCAGAAATTGTTAGAATAGCTTGTTCCCTTTTCAATGGAGGCCCTGATTCCTGTGGAACTGTGAGTATATACAAGTTGCATCTGGTGCTTTTTCAAAAGTTTAAGCACTAGAATAGTAGTATGTGCTTTATTGACTATATAAAGGAATGTGATCATAACAAATTATGGCTAACATTGAGAAGAACGGGAATCCCAGAGCACTTAATTGTGCTCATATGATACCTATACCAAGAGGCTGTTGTAGAAACAGAGCAAGGGAATACTATGGTTTAAAATTAAGAAAGCCATGTGTCAGGGTTGTAGCCAGTCTTTATACCTATTCAGTCTGTATGCTGAGCAAATGATTTAAGCAACTGGACTCTATGAAGAAAATTGTGGCATCAGGGTTGGAGGAAGACTCATCAGTAACCTTCAGTATGCAGATGACACAACCTTGCTTGCTGAAAGTGAGGAGGACTTGAAACATTTGCTGCAGAAGATCAAACACAGCAGCTATCAATATAGATTGCATATCAACATCAAGAAAACAAAAATTCTTACCACTGGACCAACAGGCAACATCTTGCTAGGTAGAGGAAAGATTGCAACCATCAACGGCTTCATCTTATTTGGATTCACAATTAAGATGCTTGGTACCAGTAGTCAGGAGACATTACATAGGACAAGTCTGTAGTCAGGGACCTCTCTAAATTATTGAGGAGCAAAAATGTTAGTGTTAAGGACTAAAGTGCACTGATTCAGGCCATGTGGTCTTTTTTAATCACTTGCTATGCATCTGAAAGCTGGAGAATGAATAATGATGACAAAAGAAAAAAAATTATGCCTTTGAACTGTGCCATTGGAGAACAGTACTGAATATCCGATGGACTGTCAAAAGAACAAACAGGTATATCTTGGAGAAGGTCAGCTGGAGTGCTCCTTGGACACAAGCCTGGCAAAGCTATATCTTGTGTACTTCAGGCATATTGGTAGGAGAGGCTGCTCCTTGAAGAAGGACATTGTGCTTAGAAAGATAGGGCGATGACAAAGGAGAGGAAGCTCTGCAGCGAGGTGGATTGACACAGTGACTGCAGCAATGGACTCAAGCGTGTCAGAGATCGTGAGGTAGGCACAGGATAAACGGTGTTCAGATCTGTTCTTCCTGGGGTCACAATGAATCATACTCAACGCGACAGCACCCAACAACAAGCAGCAGAATTTGTTTAAAAGTATCTTGCTATGTAAGCAGTACTAACTATTGTAGAAAAATCCAGATTAGCAGCACTTTAAAGCAGACTGCCAACATTTGGGAGTATGTATCTGCAGCTATTTTTCTCTTTAATTTTTCATTTAACATTTTTTAAATATACATAAAGATGCTAGAATTCTTTAAAGAATATTGTAAATTTACCAAATATGTATATTTTGCTAACATGTACGCCTGTGTAGATGCATTTGACTTTGTGAATCATAACAAATTGTGTAACATCAAGAAGAATGGGAATCCCAGAACACTTAATTATGCTATTGTAAAACCTAGACCTAGACCAAGAAATTTTAAATCATGCAGTATTGCCTTGCTTTTTCTGGACAAGAGCAAGGGAACCACTGTATGGTTTAAAATTAAGAAAGGTGTGATCAGCCATTCTATTACCCTGTCTATTCAATATCCTTTCACTATATCTGTTCAGTATCCTTTCTCCATATCTATTCAGTCTGTATACTAAGAAAATCATTTGAGAAGCTAGACTCTATGAAAAAGAAAGTAGCATGGGGATCAGAGGAAGACTCGTCAACAACCTGCGTTATGCTGATGACACAGCCGTGCTTGCTGTAAGTGAGGAGAACGTGAAGCAGTTACTATAGAAGATCAAGGACTACAGCCTTCAATATGGATTACATCTCAACATCAGGAAGACAAAACTGCTCACCACTAGACTGATAGGCAGCATCCTGATAGATGGAGAAAAGACTGAAACTGTCAACGATTTCATCTTACTCGGATCAACAGTCAACACCCTTGGGACCAGCAGTCAAGAGATCAGGAGACGTATTACATGGGGAACGTCTGTTGTCTGCAACCTCTCTAAATTACTGGGGAACAATGATGTTCGTTACAAGACTAAGGTGCACCTGACTTATGGTCTTTTCAGTCATTTGTTATGCTGCTGAGAGCTGGAAAACTAAATGAATGAAGAAGAATTGATATCTTTGAGTTGTGGTGCTGGAGGAGAGTACTGAATATACCACGGACAGCCAAAAGAACAGACAGATCTTGGAGAAAGTGCAGCCAGAGAGCTCCCTGGGTGCCAGGATGGCTAAGCTTCATCTTACATACTTTGGACGTGTTGTTAGGAGGGGCTATTCCTTGGAAAGGGACATCATCCTTGGAAATTTGGAGGGTCAGTAAAAGAGAGGAAGATAGGAGATATTAGATAGATTGACATAGTGACTGCAACAATGGATTCAAGTATGTTATCGATGATGAAGTTGGCACAGGAGAGGACAGGGTTCAGATCTTTTGTTCATAGGGTCATTATGAATTACACTTGACTTGATGGCACCTATGAGCATCTCTTTCTTTATCTCCTATCCATCCATCTATCCACCAGGCCTGTGCTGAACTACATAATAGTTCTTAACGTATACTTACCATGTTATATAAGCTGACATTTATTTTTGTTATTCTGTTAAGTCACTCTCATTCGGTTGTTAATAGGAAAGACACAGAATATTGAAAGACACATATGGAGACTCCTTGTTTCAACTATCGTTTCAAAGAGAAAAGATGTTTTCCTAAGTGTAATTGATAAACTTCTCTTTGGTTGGGTATGACAAACTAAAGTTACCTTCTTTAGGAAAAACTGTATCTCATCTTATGTAAGATAGAAAGTTAAGTCTAATTCGGTGTGTTGTACTTGGTAAACTAGAATTGCTAATCCTATCAGATACATTAAGTAAGTCATTATAAAGTCTGTCAATCTAGGGACTATCTAAGAATAAGAAAATTCTATAGCTAGTTTCTAGTTTTTTCCCCTCAAAGCAGTGGTTTTCACTGTTGTGTTGATACCATGAAAATTGGTGTTTCAATATATAGTAGCGACTTAAGTGGCAGCTACTGCTTTCCTGAAATTGAATTTCAAAAGAAATTTCCGAAACTGTTAAAAACTGATCCAGTTATAACTGTGTCAGTACCTCGTAGCATTTAGATGAAGGACGTGATTTCTGGAGCAAAGGTAATGATATTCTTACAGTAGGCACTCTTCAGCCATGAGATGAGGCTCTGTTAACTTTTAAGATTACACATCTGTGAAGCAAATTGATTTTAACTAGTTGACAATACATCCATCCTGTGGCCCAGCTCCTAAAGAGCACCTGTAGAAAAATTAGTGCACCTTGGACACATGAAAATGAATGCTCATAGCAGCATTGTTACTAACAGCTAAAAATTGAAAACCATTTAAATGCTCATCACCAATTGGGTGGATAGTGCTTCAGTCTGTTGTAGTTAATATTCTTATTGGTGCTCTGATTACCCATCTTTGGCCTGTGGGAAGTCTTTCATTTTGGCTCTTTGTTCTTTTCCTTGACCCCAGTGGTCTTTGAGCAGTTCATGGCTTTCTGGCTTGACAGAGTATTTCGGGTTCCTCATAAACATTGCTTGTTCCAGACCTGAAACCAGCCATAACCATTTCCCTAATGAGACGTAGTTCGTTTTATGACTTTTTAAAATATTTCCAAGTTTTGAAAGTTAGTTTATGGAATAAGGCAGATTTAAAAAAATAACTAGAGTGCAATTGATAGAGCAAGAGAAATAGTATAAAAAGAGCCGCTAATAAAGCATAGATTAAGAAGAGCAGTATACATTTATTGAATGAGTAGTTTAAGACGAATCACAGAAGAGAACTAGATAGCCTATAAAGTTTATGTACTCTTCTTAGTAGCAGAAAGACTAAGGGTAGTTGTGGATGAATAAGATTGGCTGTTGGTGTTATGTGCTATCAAGTCGACTCTGATAGTTATTGTAGCTGTGTGACAGACACAGGGTTTAATGGATGCCATCCTGAGCTGCATCTCATTTTGAACTTCTACATCTTATTTACCATATTCTTCATTCTTGAGAAATATGTTTGGTTCTTATTTTCTTTTTATGAATTGGCTTTGTTCTTTACATTTTATTAATTTTGTGATTGAGAATATACCCAGCAAAGCATACAACACAGTTCACTAGATTTTTTACAGATGCAGCATTTAGTGATGTTGGTTACAGCATTGCAGTTAGGCAACCCTTTGCACCTTTTCTGAGTCTTTCCTCTCTCATTAACAAAAACCCTGTGCCTTCTGAGGTTTCTTTTTTTTTTGTTGTTGTTTTTTTTTTGAGGTTTCTATCTAGTTTTTCAAGTTTCTATTAGCAGTGTTTCAAAAAAAAAAAAAAAGATTGCGCTTAAAAAGACATAATGACATAATACTCAAAATAGACTTTTTCTTTTATATAATAGTTGTACTGAACTCTTGTTTGATTTTAAGACAAGGTTCAGGAATATTTACTATTTAAGGTAGAAAGATTACTTCAGGGCATTTCAGGGCCACGGCAAGTCTGAAGTCTTTCAAACATAATTTGAAATTGTGTTCTATATTGTACTCACTTTTATCAGGATTCTTCTATGGAATCCTTGATCAAGATGCACAGTAATGGTAACTGATCACCATCCATTTCTTGTCTTATGTCAAAGGTGGCAGCTGTTCTTGGAGACAATTATCCACTCATTCTATATCCTACTTCAATTCCTGATTCTCCTTCTTGTCTACTCTCAAGTACCTTGGATTGGTACTAGAAAGCTTTTAAGAACGCAGGCATTACACATATCTAGGAGACAGAACAGAAGCACCAAGCACATCATTGGATCTGTTAACTAGCATATCTCATGGAATGGTGGCCCTTAAACTCCAAACTGAGGAACCAAACCCCATGAAATATTTTGGTGTATGTATAGTATCAGCCTCAACTAGTCTTTTCTCTTTTGTTGTGACATCTATCAGACAGCTGTTGCCAGTTCAACTTTTTACAATTACACGCCTTA